TCCCCCCCCATCTTAGGGAAGGCCAGGGAAGCCCCCTTGGGCTCCCCTTTGCCCCCCACGGTCCGGCTTTCGTAAAATTGGGGCGAGCCCAGTGAGGGAGGCCTAGTGGCTTATCGCCCCGTGCGGAGCCTGCCTTGAGTTGCGTGGCTGCCCGCCGGTCCGTGGCCAGAGGGCACGCCTGGGGGGGCAGTGGGTGGGGGTGGCAGGGGATTCGGGGCTCCTGGCGGGACCTGATCCTTCCCCCCTCGGAAGCCCCGAAGGGTCCCAAAGGCCACCTTCGGTCCCACCCACCCCCAGGGAGGTAGCCCCAGAGAGGGCGAGGAAGAGAGACCTCGGGTTCCCCCCTTTTATTTCCAGCCCATTGAACGAAGGAGAAACTGAGGCTCTGCCCAGCCTCGGGTTGAATCCTGTCCCCCAAAAGGGAAAGGGCACAAGGACCCCCCTAGTTTGGGGTCAGTCGGGGAGGGGGGCAGAGGCCAAGGAGACCCTCCGGACACCCCCTGCCGGGACACCTGCTGAGTTATTATATTTATTTATTTATTCCATTTATATCCCGCCTATCTGGTCGTTATAAGGCGGTCCTCTCCTTTTGCCAGGGCCAGAACATGACAACTATTTGCTAAAACGCCGATGCAAAAAACAGGCTCCATTTATATCCCGCCTATCTGGTCATTATAAGGCGGTCCTCTCCTTTTGCAGGGCCAAAACCCGACAACGCTTTGCTAAAAGACCAATGCAAAAACAACAACAACAACAAAAAAACAGGTGGTCCCTTGGCAGATCACTTAAAATCATCATCATGCCATCTGATGAGGTTTTTAAAATCCACAAAAGCTCGTGGATCCTGATGATGATTCTTTTTTAATGGTCTGTAAAGAGATCACCTATTGTTGCATTTGCATTATTTTCTTATGCTTCGTACCACACGGCTTTCTTTCATTTATTTCACCTTTTTTTTTCTGTGTCCCAAGGGGAGCGGCCGCGCTCCTTCCTTAAGTCCTTCCTTTTCCCTTTTCCTGCTTTGCAAAAGGGGGGGGTTGATGCTGTTTCTGCTCTGGTGGGAGGACTGAAGGGCTGAGGGTGCAAAAACGTGGGAAATACCTGGCAAAAGATCTCTGGCAGAGAAAAAAAATTAAAATGCCCCCTGCCCCGGAAGGCACCTTGGAAAAAGGAAACAAGGCTCTTAATGGTACAGTACTCCTTGCCCCAGGAAAGCATGTTGCTGCTTACAGCATTAAAAATACAATATTTAAAAGCTAAAAGCAGTTAAGTATACAAATATTTTAAGAAGAATGAAACAAAGGCCCCATTAAAAATGGGTAAATAAAATCACACTCGAAACTTATTTAAAACAGCAGAGCACAACGATCCATTTAAGAGCCCCCTTCAAGCCAGCAGTCCTCAAGGAAAAGCTGGCCTACTCTTTCATTCGGATAAAGGACCATCACTGAAGAATATGGTGCTGCCCAGAAGCTGGCACAGGGGGTTATTTTGCTGGCTTTTTTTTGCTGCCAAAGGCAGAGGAAGGAGGGCTGGTGGGGGCTCTTTGCTTCCAGGGCCAGAATCATCTGACTAATTGGCTCAAAATCTGGATCCTATAAAAGGATCCGGAGTTTCTTAGAAAATGTTCCCGTCCTTGGTAGAGAAGATCAGAGGTCTGGTTTGATTTATAGTTAAAGTGAATTGGTGCTGTTCGATTTCCTGGAGGCTTTGGAAGATTCATGGCCATGTTATTTTGATTTCAGAGCGATGGCGTCCACACTTCTAGGGGGAGAACGGCAGACCCGGAAAGTGGCCCTCCCAGTGACCGTGGGGCTGATCTTAGCCACCTCTGGTGAGAGCATGTCGGAGAGGACAGACAGATTGATCGCCATATTTGGCACTTTTAATGTCCTCTGATTGATTGGTTTTTATGTAATGTTGAATATTATGGGGGAGGAAGCCGTGAGCTTTGCGGTGAAACCTCTTAGGTCTTTCCTCTTGCATCTCAAATATCCCTGATGATTGCAGTTCGGGATCGGGATGTTTTCTGCACACCGAACCTCTTCCCTTGCAGAGAAAAAACCTTCAGCCTTCTCCTGACCGGTGTGGCCAGGTGTTGGGCCCACCTTTTGCCCCACACCCTCTTCTTCGAAGGGTTCCCGCAAATAGCTCTTCATGTTGAGATTCTACCCGTGTCCCTGTTTTTTATAGGAACTCTTCTAACTTCTTCTGCTCTTTTTTAAAAAAACAATCAGAACCCACGTGAGCTCACAACCCTGTCTCGTGGTCCCCATCTATTGTTCTTACTGCTCCTAGCTCAGTGGCTTGGACCTTGGCAGAACCAAAAGTTGGGAGTTCGATACCCCCACGGGGCTTCCTTGAGAGGGGCAGAACTTGATGATCTATAGGGTCCCCAGTTCAAAGATGATGATTCTATACTGTGAAACACAGAGTTTAATGACCTACGCCTGCAAATTCTGAGTTACTGCTCCTAGCTCAGTGGCTTGGACCTCGGTAGAGCCAAAAGTTGGGAGTTTGATTCCCCCATGGGGCCTCCTTGGGAGGGGCTGAACTTGATGATCCATAGGGTCCCCATTTCAAAGATGATGATTCTATATTACTGTGAAACAGAGAGATTAACAACCTACGCCTGCAAATTCCAAAGTGTACGCCTGTAAGTGTAGAGAAAACGGCTGAACGTCTGCTGGGGAGGTTTCAAATCCAGTCCTACTAATTTGGATGGACTCTTGTTCCCTCTCCACGCAGTGCTGGGTGTCTGTCCTCCCGGGTGGGTCCCTTACAGGGACGACCTCTGTTTCTACCTCTCAACGGCTCCTGCCTTGTCCTGGAACGAGGCCCATGTCTTCTGCCAGGACCAGAAAGCCCAGCTCGTGGTCATCAAGGACTACAAGAAGCAGGTACAAGAGAGCGGTCTTTCCACGCGGCTTTGGAGCTGCCGTTGGGTCTCCTCGGGCAGTGGTCTGTGGCGAGGCCACCTCCCGCTGGTCCTCAGCGCCTTCCTCCTTTCTCTGCTTTCCCCCGCCTCGATTTGGGATACCCGGCTGCAGATGTTCCTCACCGACCTTGCCGAGGGCGCCACGGGACGGGCTCCCCACTATTGGATCGGGTTAGCGTGGCAGGAGGCAAGAGGCCTGCTCGCTTGGGTGGATGGCACGCCAATTTCACAGAGCTGGTACAGGTGAGTCAGGAGCCCGTCCAGGGCTGAGCCCAGAAATTGGTGTAGAGTAGGGGCCAGGGCACATCCTGAAGTCTGAAGCCCTCCCTACGGCCCACCTCTTGAATTCTGAATCCACTCCACCCCCTATTTTGCCAGGAACTGGCTCTCTGGACATCCCAAGAAGAAGCAGTGTGTGCAACTGGTGAGCATCTACACCGGACAATGGAGAGACTGGGACTGCGACGCCAAGAGCCGCTTCCTCTGCGAGATGCAGGTGAAAGGTAGGAAGGCGAGAGGTACCTTTCCTGAGCAAAGGGGGAGCATCCCCATGTCTCCCCTTGGGACCCTCCAAACCTCAAAGGAGGCAGGAAAACTCATGGAGAAGGTGGAGAGAGAGAAGAGCCTTTACGCAGAGAATATCTCTCAAACAGTACCCAGGCTTTCTTGGGGATTCCGGGTATTGTAGTGCAGAAAAAGAGCTTCTCTGCAGAAGAGCTTCACCCTTCTCAAATCCACCGTCCTGCCTCCCTCCGTGACCCTGGATCCCCACACAGCAGCGGATCCTGGGTTCGAGTCTCCCTTTCTCTGATTTCGTACCCCGCCTCCCTGACTTCCGTAGATGCCTTTCCCGGCTTTGTGAAAAAGGCGCATTTCCGCTCCCGTTGCTATGCCTTCCACTTCCCATCGTTCAGGGAGTGGAGGTCCTGGAGGGAGGCCCGGTCTCTCTGCCGGGAATCCGGGGAGAGCTTAGCCACGGTCCACGATGAGGAGGAGAATGTGGGAGTGTCAGGTAAGGGTGTGTGTGTGCGTGTGTGTCCGTGTCCCAGAGCGGCCTCTACCAAACAGACTGGTTTTGATGGCGAATCTCCCCAAACCTGCTAACCTTCTCGATGAGCAAGAACAATTCAAAACCAACTAAAAGCCTGCTGAAAGGTATATATTGCAATATGTTAAAAAAAAGTGCCTGTTTCACCAGACCCACCAACGTGTGGGGCTGCTGGCAGGATGTTTGGGGTGGGTGAGGTTTTCCCTTGGCAGGGCTGGTCTCAAGGTCAGCGTGCTCCTGCCCAGGGCCCGCACCTCACCCAGGACCTCCTGGATGTGGACCACTTCTCCAACATGTTCCTCTTCCCCCCCTCCCCAAACTTTGGCCCCAACAAAGTGGGCAAACCAGCCGTTGATCAGCTGGGGATATAAAGACATCGTGGTAACCGGAGGTGGTCAGGTAGAAGAACGGGCATCGGTGACTGTGCAGGAACAAGCTTGCCGAGAGGGTGGCCCTTGCTCCTGGGGAGGTCATGGGATCAGGCGTCCTCTCCTTCCGAAGGGGCCATGCATGGAGGCTGTGCTCTTTCCGTGGCCTAGACGCTTTTCCTGAAGAGGGCTGGCACATGTGGATCGGGCTGCGCTTTGGAACTGCCTGGAGTTGGAGCGACACGTCTTCCCTGGCCTATGCCCGGTGGCATCCAGGTAGGTGTGATTCTCGGAGCGTTCGTCTTTTGGCACCACTGCTTTTTTGCGGGGGGGGGCAGGCATTCTCCGGTAGCCCAAGTCCTGGCAAGGTCTTATGGACTAGTCTCTGCCACGGTCATTCTTGGCTGCTGTGATACAGAGCGCCCTCAAAGATGTGGCCCGCTGTAGCCCCTGGCCACGTGGCACTGTCAGCCATTCACGCTCTTCCTGCGTGCTCTCGGTGCGGCTTTCTCCGTGGCTTGTGCCACTAAAACCCCACTTTATTTTGAGAGGGGCAGACACAAACTGTTAGAGCAGGCCATCATTTAAGGGTGACTTATCTGGTTTCTAAAGCAGCTGATGTAGGCCAAGCCTCATGGATCAGGTCCAGCGGTCCTAGCTCGCCAGGTTTCCAACGGAAATGTCCCGTGGCTGTTTGCATAACGTACCTTTGCCCGTGGCCCTTAGGATGGAAAAGTGGCTGCAGGGAGAGATGGCAGAAGTACAGCCACGCATTGACAGGGCAGAGCGATGGCGCAGTGGAGGGCAGGTTCCCACTGCGTTTCTCAAGGTCTCCTCTTTGTAGAAAACCCCCCTTCCACGGCACGGGACCAGTGCGTGGTGCTGATTCTCCAGCCGGCGGATCCTGCCCAGCATGGAAGGTGGAAAACCAGACCTTGTGACATCCGTCCCGCTGGCGAAATCACGGGCTTCGTCTGCCAGGGCAGAGAAGGTGAGCGCGAGGAGACAGGTTGAAGGAACTACCAAGGGAAAGCTGGAAATTGAAGTCACGAGTGGCTTCTTCAGTCTGAGGAGAGTTCGCAGGAGATCCCGAATATCTCCTCTACTTAGTTTCACTTCTCCTTTAGAAGGACAAAGGACTGGGTGGTGAGGGATAATCTCACCTCTGCAGTCCTTCTCCATCCATTGTCATGGGTCGTTAAGGGTCGTTAACTGTGGGCTTTCTGCTGTATGTGGTCCTGATCTTTCTGGGGAGGGATGAAAGCGGAGCTTGATCCATAGGAGACAGCTTGTATCTAAGGCCTACACCCCTGTCGAGTGAGGGATTTCCTATATGCACATGGATGCATATAGGAAATCCCTCTCTCAAACCAACAACCTTCTCTGTCCAAAATGAGTCCATCTTGGTCATCCTGATCCGTTGCCCCTCCTGCGCTGGGCCATTCTCCTGTTGAGTGGCTGTTTGGTTTCTCCTTCGAACACTCTTTACATTGCATCACATATACTATATATTGTTCCTGTTGTTTCACAGATTTATTACCAAAGGACAGATTTATTACCAAAGGACAGAGTTTGTAGTAGAAACAAGAGAGATGCCCGCCTCTGAGTTGTCCTTCTCTTGTCGTTTTCAAACGCTGTTTGGTTTCTCCAATGTAGACCTTCGGACGCTCTTTACATTGCATCACATACACTATATATTGGTCCTGTTGTTTCATAGATTTATTACCAAACGACAGAATTTGTAGTGGAAACAAGAGAGACGCCTTCTCTTATCGTTTTCAAATTGAGTTGGCGATTGTTTCTGAAAACAGGCCTTGTGGGGGGAAGACAGGGGAGCATGGCATGGCTGCTGCAAAAGGGAAATCCTACTCATTGAGCCTAGAACTTTCTCCCTCTGTTTCAGTGGGTTTGTAGAAAGGATGATGCTGGTAGAACGAGAGCCGGTGAGCTGGGCTTGGTGCCTCCGGTTTGGCTAATATGGCTTTCTGAGGTGTCTCCATCTTCAGCTCTCCATGAAGTGTTCTGCTGTTTTTTTTTTCCTGAATTAAATATGGGCGGGAGATTGGGAAAATCTGCTGTCTGGACTACAGGTCCCAGGATCCCCCAGTGGGGAATTCTGGGAGATGTGATCCAGAGAAATCCTACTCTGCCAGTGACTTTGAATCCGTTTTAATGTTTTCTGTATCCTGGTGCATCTGGAATTTTACCCACCGGTCTAAATCCAGCCTCATCTCTCTCCTCAGATTTTTGTGGTCCCCCGGAGCCTGTCCACTTCCCTCTTCCGGGCGGGATGGGTCCGCACGCCACAGCCGACGTTGCTTTCTCCTTGTCTGTCCGCTCTGCCTGCTCTTTGTCCTTGATGGGCCTCCGGGCCGAAACCAACACCAGCGCCACCCTCTTCTGGCTCAGCCTGGAGTCAAATTCCACCCATGTGCACAGCAGCATCGCCAGTGAGCTCGGCGGCTTTCCGGTGCGCAAGGTTTTCCCCGGAGTACCCGTTGTTCCCGGCATCAGCACGTGGGGCTTTGTCACCTACCCCGATGGATTCGCCACTTTCTTCAACCAGCAGGAGCATTTCCGGCTGTCTGAGGTCCCGGGCATTTCTTTCGCCGGCCTCAGCTCCTTGCAGATAAGTGGCGCCACTGTGCTCAATGCCTCTTTAGGTAGGTTGGGGCAGATTGCCACCCGGAGTAGACCTTTGGTCTAGATGGTGCAGGATGCGTGCAGGATGCTGTTCATTCTTTCACTGCCCTGTGCATATCCTGCCTTGCATCAAACGATGATGGGGCAGAGTACAGATTACAAAGCAACGTGAAGTCATTTAAGACAACGTAAATAGCTTTTAATTTCAGAACCTCCTGGTTTCTGGCCCAGCCAAAAGCATCTCAAGTAGCCAGGGCAGAATGGGGCCCTTTTTTGCAGCCAGGGCTGGGCTGAACGGAGGGACAAGTTGGGCCTGACCTGGGTCAGCTTCGGGGCCCTTCCTGCTGCCGGGGCTGCCCCCTTCTCACAGCGGACCATCGGCTTGACGAGATGCCTGCTAATGGCAGACAAGAGTTGGTTGCATGGCGTCTCTGTGGCCGGGGAAGCTTGATCACCCAGTCCCTCATCAAGTTGGCGATCCCAGGATTTCATGAGATGGAGCTGTGGCAGATTTTTTTTGCCGGATCAAGCACCGTGTTGGTGAAATGTGGATACACTCTGTCGTGTCCTTTAAAAGTCCCTTATTGCTCCTGATCCCTTTGTACCTCTGTGTCCATTTCTGATCCTTTCTGTGGAAAATGAGAGAGAAGGCAGACCCCCCCCAAAAAAAATCAGGCACCCCTCTGCCCCAGGTGCTCGGCTCTTATGAGTTCCCCAAGGGGCTTAGAGGGGCTTGTGTGGCCCCCTTGGTAAGGGGCGAAGGCTTGGGCGTAGAGAGCAGAATCGTTGTGTTCCTTCCTAGAACATCGCCTCTCCTCACAAGTGCACTTCCCCGGTGGCCGTGGCATGAAGCTGGAAGAAGCCATCCGGCGCTACCTGGGCAACTTCACCGTCAGCTTGTGGCTCCGAAGCCTCTCCGCCGGCCACCCCAAGATGTGTGTGGTCAGCTATGCCCTGAAGTGGAAGCCGCCAGAATTTGCCCTCTTCCTCCTGTCCCCTTGGGGGCTGGAGTTCCACCTCAAGGGGTGAGGCTTGGCTGGGATCCGGGCCCGGGCTGGTGGCTGTGTCCCCTTTGCCAGAAGGAAAGGCTGAAAGGGACATGTGGAATAGCGAGGAGGTCGGTCCCTTCTCCGGACCCCTTGCGGACCCCGTCTGTTCGTTGCAGGGCCGTGATGTTCTGCGAGACCCGTGGGGCTCTTCTGGACGGATCCTGGCATCACGTGGCCGTCTCCGTCTCTAGCGCTCCCAACCCACTCCCCGTCCAGGTCTTTGTGGACGGGGAGCCCTGGGACCCCAGTTCTGCCAGCGGCGGGCACCGTTCCTGGAAGAAGGGGCTGCCCTTGGGGGGGACGCTGTGCGTGGGGCAGCTGGAGATCGACGGCAGGGGTGAGTCTCGGGGAAGGCCTTGGGCCGTCTGGTTCGGGCGTCGGGGGGGGGTTGGACACAGGTCCAGAGTGAGCCAGGGGGTCCCCAAAGGCTGCAGGAAGGCCTTCTTGCGTTTTGGAGTCAGCGAAGGAGTACCTGTCGCTGGGGGGGGGGGAGACCACCTGGTCAGGCGGATCAGAGGCTGGGCGTCTCAAATCGCTGGGCGGTGGGTGGGAGCAGAGCGCTCGTCCATAGGTTTGATCCCCGGCTGCCTCTCCTGGGAGAAAGCTCAGGAAGGAGAAAGATGATGCCCTTCCCTTGCCCGAGCGAGGCCGTCCAAAGAGAGACAACACTGGACTGGGTTGCTTTGGACTCTCAGCCTGGACGCACACACCCCGGTGGCTTCCTCAGGCCCTTTCGTTCCCAAGAGTGCCCATCGCTCGGGGGGATTGGGACCTCCCCCAGTCTGGAGCTGGCCTCCCTTGTGTGCCAGAAGCGCTGAAGGAAGAGCGAGGTTCCTGTCGGTCAGAGGGGCCGCCCGGCCTCTCTCCACCCCTTCGTCCAACCCTCTCGCTTTCCAGCTGTCCCCATAAGGGGTGGGATGGCTGCCCAGCAGGTGGCGAGGGGGGGTCTTGGGTTAGGACCGTCCTAAGGTCTGTGGCAATGGCTGGGCGGGAGCAACTGGCATCACGGAGCAGGGCCTGGAAGTGCCAGCCGGCTTAGCTGAATCCCTGCCCGCCCACCGTGCCCGCCTTTCTCCCATCCTCAAACCTTCCAAACAGTCCCACCCTGCCCGCTTGTTCGCCGGGCGAGAGGAAGCCCGCTTCACGTAGATCGCTTTGCAGGGGCCAGCTTCTACGTGGGTGACCTGAGCGAGGTGAATCTGTGGGATCGGGCCCTCTCCTGGTACTCGGTCAAACAACTGGCCGCCTCCAGGACCAAGTGGAAGCACCCAGGGAACGTGGTCAGCTGGGCCCAGCTGGTGGCCGCCCCGTCGCTTCCCCTGCAGATCAGCACGTCCCTGAGTGAAGATCCAGGTAGGGAGATTTCTCCGGTTGCCAAAGGAGGCCGAGGAGAAAAAAAGGGGGGGGCTGATAGGATGATGGGCCGAGTTCTGGCTGGTGCTCAGCCCAGGCACCTTTGGTTTTCCAGAAGACAGAGGGTAGCTTTTTAAAAAAAATTTCTCCCCTTTCAGAGGCTGCCTTCGTGTGGTTTGGCTCCCTCCGGCTCAGAGGGAAGCCCTCGGTCCTGTGTTCCGATCCAGAGCGAGCCCTGGTCTACGTGGCGCCCACCCAGGCCCAGTGCCCCCGAGGGGTCTTCTGGGGGCTGCAGCTGAATGGGAGGCTGCGCATAGTGGGGGACCCCCCTTCCTACCTCCTGGTGAGTTGGGGGGGGACTTCCTCAGACATCACAAAGCCCTCCTTCCCTGGGATCTTTGGCGTTGGAGCTGCGAGGGTGAAGTGGGTTGGAAACGGAGGGAAGGTGGTAGCTGAGGACAGACCCACAAAATCGGGTGTGTGTGTGTGTATGTGTGTGTGTGTGTGTGTCCTCTCTGGGTAAATGGCAAGCGCGCCAACCTCTCCTCTCCCCTGCGCCGCGCAGGTGGCACCCGATTGTGTCTCGTTGCTGAGCGGCTCCCGCTGTTCCTCGGACGCCAAGAACTCCTTCCGTCTTTTGCCTGACCAGCGCTTGCAGAATCTGCACTCGGGGCTTTGCCTTTTCCAGGACATGAGGAGCGCCCGGCTCTTCCTGGGGAAATGCACCTCCCAAGCGCTGCACTTCGTTCTGGACTGGGGTAGGGGACTTCTCTCTGCGGTTCAGAAGGGGGGGGCTTGCAGGTGGTGCCTTGGCACACAACCCCTCACCTCGCGTCCGGCTTCCTGGCACCTCTGTCCAGGGGACCAAATCCAAGGGAGAGGGAGGCCTGGGGGGGGCTCACCCTGCCGTCTCTCTCCCCCCCCCCCACCTGCATCTCCTTGCCCAGAGGTCTACTGCCCCCAAAGCCTAGCCTGGAGATCCTGGAAGGACACCTGCCTTTTCCTCGTGCTGGATGCGGCCCTAGAGTGGAGCCAGGCCTTGACTTTCTGCCAGCGGTTCCACGGCGGAAGCCTGGTCACCCTGAGAGGCCCACGGGATCTGGTGAGGCGCCTGTCCGGATTGGGGGATGAAGGAGAGCATCACGAAACCCCAAAGGGTTCCCCCCCCAGCCCTCCGCAATATATCCCACCTCCTGGGTCCCTCGGCCGCCCTTTCGTGGCATTTCCCAGCGTGAATCTTTTGGGGGAGGGAGGGTGCCAAGGGCCACCATCCTTGCCCCACGCTGGCGCCAGAGAACTGGGGTGGGGTGGGGGGAGGAAGCTGGGAAGAAGGGCTCTGTGTTTCCCCTCCCCAGGCGTGGCTGCAGGAGGAGCTGCAAGTGAGCGTTTGGACTGGGTTGCGCAGCAGCGGAGGAGACCTGTGGAGCTGGGCGGATGGCGCCCCTTTCAACCCAGTTTTGCGGCGGTAAGAGCCCCCTTACTGTCCAGGCGGTCCACTCCACCCCTGGAGGAGCCAATTTGGGGGGGTGGGAGATGGACCGTAACCCCAGAGAGAGGGGAGGTGGCAAGTCTTTCTTCTCCCTTGCTTCCTCCTCCTCTCTGACCCCCCTTTTTCTGATCCTTTCTTGGGGGGCCAGGTTCATGTCCTCCTGGGGAACCCCCCGCACGATGACCTGCATGGTCGCCCTGCCCTCGGGATTCCTGAAGGCCGAGCCGTGCCACCGGCCTCACCGATGGATCTGTCAGGTCCCACACCAGACGGGTGAGAGCCCTCGGCCTGGCCGGCTTTGGGGACGGGCACGTTTTACATATGATTTGCCTGCCAAATGTTCACCCCACTCCCCACCCCATCCGAGGCACCTCCAGGGCACGGTCGCTCCACCGAACCCATACAGGAGAAAGGAAGCAGATCATAAATGTAGAAAGAAATCCTCCTTTTGAAGGACGGACGCCCAAAAGGAGGAGCCCTGATTTGTAAAAATGCCTTCAAATCACCCTTTGGATCTTTTTCTAGGGGGCTCAGCCGTTTCCCCACGTTTGACAGCACCAGGAGGGCCGTGCAGTGGGTTTTTCTCTCTCTGTTCAGCCCTCGCCATGGGGCAGGGCGGTCCTGGGGGGGGTACAGAAGCCTGCAGGCTTGGGTTCCTCCCACCCTCTCCTCCTTCACTGCGGTCCTGTTGTGGGTCCCCGCCACAAAGCGGTGTGTGTGTGCGGCTTCTCTTCCTCCTCCTCCATGTTGTGCCGCAGGTTCTGTTTTCTGAACAAGGGACCGCTCTGCCCCACCTCCGGGATGTTTTCAGGTCAGGGCATGGGGGGGTTTGATCCTGGCTGTGGTCGCCTCCCACCTTCTCCCCTCCTTCTCTTCCCCCTTGCAGACTCCTACATGACCTTCCCGGGGAAATCCTTCTATGGGGCTCTGTCCGTGGATCTCAGCTTCCGGTCACTGCGGGTGGCCCGGCGTCAGTGCAGCGCCTTGGGCCGGGGCTGCAGCGGGGTGCTCAGCACCACCGCCGGCCACCGCCTCAGCCTGGGGACCCGCTTCGTCACCCTCCGGGGCTCGGCGGCCGACCCTGCTGCCACCGTCCATGTGAAGATGAGGTGCTCGCCCGGCTATTCTGGGCAGGACTGCCAGTCCATGTGCCCCCCCTGCGAACCCCGGCTGAGCTGCAACCCCCTGAGCGGCCTTTGTGAGGGCCTCCTCCAGGACGGGCCGGCGCCTGGTAAGCTGGGTGGGAACCCGGGGGGCGCGTGAAGCCGCCTCGTGCTGCGGCAGTCTACCTGCGGGCCTGGTCTTGTATGCACTGTGGATTCTGCTTTTCTGGTCTCTCTTATATTCACACTTGCCCATATGCCCGGCTGGCCTCTCCCCTGGCCCGTGGGGCAGAGAGGGGGTTCCTTTGGAAGAGGGGCCCTGTGGAGGCTATTGGCCCACACCCTGCGACCCCCAGACCCCCATGGCTGAACCCCACAGCTCACAAGGGTGCAGGGAGCATCTTGCTGACGCCTGGCAGAGGCTACGGCTGCTTCCAGGGTTCTGCCTGCGAGGAGCCAGCCCTCTTTCTCCCCACAGATGCCACAGTCTCCTCTCTGAAGTGCCTGCCGTTGGGCGTGTGGGTCTTCGAGCGGGGGGTTTGCCTGTCTGCAGAGTGCTACGACGAGCGGGAGGAAGCCGCCTCCGCTTGCCAACGCTACCTGGGCGCAACCGTGACGAAGATCAGGCCTCTGCTGGGACAGGTGACGGCCATGGGGCAGGGGCCCCACACTGCCAGCCCTAACCACTCACCCGCCTGTCTTTCCCACCGGCATAGAGCCCTACCGGTGACACTCGCCTACCTATGCCAGCCTGCCCGAAGGGCTATAGCCAGAGCCCCCGGGATACCTGGGCCACTTTGCACTTGGAAAGCAAGATCCACATGCCGGACTATCCTTGCCGGCTCTTTTTCCAGGCCCCGGAGGGCTTCGCTGGACCACAAGCAAGCGGCGTTGAGCCCGACAGTTTCCTTTGGGCTTGCCAACGAGCGGAAGGTGGGTGCTGTCCTCCTCCTCCTCCTCCACCACCTCCCTTCTGGGCAGGAGTGCAGGATCCCACCTGGTGGGATGGCTGGGAGGAATAGCCAAGGATGGATCCCTGTCTTCAACTGCAGAGATTTATTAATTTTTTTTAACATAGCCACTGCTGGTCACTCGGTGGCCATTCCGAGAGCCTCCGAGAAGCCTTGCTCGTTCTGTCTCGGAATGACCTTTGAGCCTCTCGTAGACAAAGGGAGAGACTCCGAAAGGCCCTCCAGATGTAGCCAAACTGTGCTCATCATCCTCCAGTATTGGCAGTGCTGAGACAGGCCGATAGGAAGGACGGTCCAGGAACATCTGGAGGGCTGGGGGTGGGCGGGGAAAAAAACCCACACACAGACCGGCCCCAAAGAGAGCAGCCTTTGAAATGTCAGTGAGCATTCTTTGCCCTCATTCCATGATGGAAACTCGCCGCGTGGTAACGCAGTGCGTGGTGCCCAAAAGGCCAGACGGTGCCCACCGAGTCCCTGGTCTTTGCTGCCCCCAGATGGTGCAGCCTGAGCCTCTTCCCCCCCCACACACACACCTCTCTCTCTTTCTTGCTTCTTTATCCAGATGTGGAGCTGCCCTACTTCCAGGAGAAGCTGCTCATTTCCCTCCTGGGCCCGACGCCCCACCAGAGGCATCGCTCTTTGCCCGAAGCCCAGGCGGCCTGCTACCTGGAGGAAGAACGATGCACGGGGATCCTGACCCTCAATGGGGCCCATTACACGGTGGGAGGGACTGTGCTGGTCGACAGCCCGGGCTCGGGGGCCGTCCTCTACGTCAAGGCAGGTGAGCGGCAGAAGGTGCAGGAAATCAGGGCTATGGGATGGCGCGAAGGGCAGGATTCCCCCAGAGTTTGGAATTGTCCCCTTGACAGATCCCGTAGTGCTCCAGCTGGTCTGGGCATGTCGGGTCCTGGATGTTTTGGCCTGAAAGGTGGCAACAAGGATGATTGGGGGTGGGGGGCTGGAAAAGCTGAAAGGTGGCAACAAGGATGATTGGGGGGGGGGCTGGAAAACAAGCCTTAGGAGGAAAGACCGAAAGAACTGGGCAGGCTTATCATCGAGAAAAGAAGACGGAGAGGAGACCAGAAGAGCATTTTCCAAAGACTTGGAAAGATTGCCCTACAGAGGAAAAACAGGATCTGTTCTCCATCCTCCCACAGTGCAAGACACACGGCGATAGGTTCGAGCAACAGGATAGCAGATCTCGGCTGAATCTCGGGAAAAGCTTCTCAACTGTTTGAGCGGTATAACAAGGGAATCCAATGATCTGGAATGGTGGTGAGCCTTCCAACGCTGGAGGCATTGAAGAGAAATTTAGACAACCACGTGGCAGATCTGCTTGGATTTGGATTCCTGCCTGGAGCAGGGCGTTGGACTCGATGGCCCCATCGGCCCCTCCTATGATTCTATGATTTCTTGGCCTCTCGCCCAGAAGGAGAATCTTGGCTTGCTGCCTTTGTTGTTGTTTTTTTTCGCCCAGGGCGGCCAGCCAGGCATCTGGGTGAGAAAAGGCTTGGTCAATTGACCAGCTAAATCTTCTGAAAGAAGGTCCGAGTCTCTGCCAACGTATATGTTGGGCATCAGCAGCCAGCCCCCCAAAAAACCCCACCCACTCCTTGTGAACACAAACCAAAGGATATCTGCCATGTGGTGGTCTAAATTTCTCTCCAAGGCCTCCAAGCGCTGGAGCGCTCACCGCCTCTCGAGATCATGGGTTCCCTTGTCGTACTGCTCTTACAGTTAGGAAGTGTTTTTCCCCCCTGATATCCAGTCGAAATCTGGCTTCCTGTCGCTTGAGCCCATTATCGGCCCCTCTTCCTGCTGGTCTCTGCCCTGAGCCATAACGATACTAGAACTGCTGTGCCGGACAAGACATTGGTCAGTCCACGGGACTGGGCTGCTGTTTCCTACGAAGGGGCTAGGCAGATGGTTTTGGAAGGCCCCCAAGCAGGGCAGGAAGGCCACCTATGTGGCCAGATTCTAAGCTAAGGCGCCGGACTCAGGCAGGCTGGCTTGTGATGGGCAGGGTGGAGGGGTGGCGAGCCGGAAATTCTTTGCTGAAGAACACAACGGGGTTTTATAGGATGGTGAAATGGAGGCCTGGGATGTCCGTTATGTGGTTCTGGTGGTTATAGTAGCCGTGGCAGTGGTGGCGGCCCAGCCGAAGCAGAGGAAAGAGAAGTCTTTTGCTCGGCTCCTGCCACAGGCCCAAAGAGTATAGCCTGCGTCTTCTTGCCCTTCCGGGACCGTCACGCCCTGCTCTGGCCCTTGCAGCGTGCTCCCCGGGCTTCTGCGGGGACCGGTGCCAAAGGCGATGCTCCCCTTGCTTGAGCACCCAAGTCTACAACCCGCTGACTGGCCGCTGTGATGGGCTCCTGCGCTGCGTCCGCCGATTCAGCCCTTCCTGCGCTCACGGTAAGCGGGAGAGGGTTGGGCGTTTCTCAGTCCTGGAGAGAAAACACCCACCCCATAGGCCCTGGATGACATGGGAGTCCGGAGGGGCGTCCCCCGAGCCCTGTTTTCTCTGCTCTGAACCAGATTGCAGAGATCCTCTTTGGGGGGGGGAGAGGCTGCTGGGGTCTTTGGCACATGATGCAGGGGCACCCACCCCAACCTCTGGGTCGTGATCTGCCTTTCTGGGGGGTGCAAAAGAGGAGCGCAGCTATGCGGAGTTGTTGAGAAGAGAATCGTGGCTGATTTCCCTTGCAAACAGAAGAGAGGCTAACATTATCTGGGGGGAACGGGCACCAAAAGGTAGGGGGCGGCCTCTCGTCCTGGATCGGGGCCCAGGGACCAGCTGCGTGTGGTCCCACCCCTCCCCTGAGGACAGGGCAGAGAGGCGAGGAGCCCACAACTCTGCCTGGCGGTCCCTCCCATGTTTCCTTTCCAGGTTTAGTCCACGCGCAATGCCCGCAGCAGCCCGGCTGGTGGTTCTGGGGCGGGCACTGCTATTACGTCGAGGAGCACAGCGCCAAGGACTGGCGGGGGGCCCAAGCAGCTTGCAAGGCGCATGGCAAGGAGATGGACCTGCTGACGCTCAGCAGCAGCAGAGAAAAGGCAGGGACGGGCTGTGGGGGCGGGTCTGTGTGTGTGTGTGGGCAGCCTGGTCCTGGAGGA